ATGTGACTGAACTTGTCGAAAGCAGCGAGCAGCTTTTTCACCTCGTTGCTTTGATGAGCAACGGTACTACCCATCGCCGTTGCCCCATGTGCATGAAGAGCAAGCTGCTCTTTGATACTTCCCAGGCTTTTCACTAATTCCAGGCGTCCTTCATTGTACCCTTCCATGGCCTGGTTCAGCTCTTCCGACATGGCTGCAATTCGGCGTGAGCATGCCAGGATACTCTGCGCCAAGGCCTTTGAAGCCATCATCATCGAAATCTCGGGATCCCCAATGGTATCCTCAATAACATCCTCAGGGTTTGGAGGAACCTCCACATCACGGCCTTCTTCAGCTGGCATTCCAGGGACTTCCAACGCGGCTCCAGGGGCTTCCAACGCGGCTCGAGCTGGTGATCTCGATCGGTCAGCTCGGTCTCCTTCCGCATCATTGCCACGGAGTTCACCTTCCCCTGGCACACCATGAATGTGGGGTCCACCTTCACCTGCCATGCTGACTACCCTCGCGAGTCTACGATGCAAGGCTTGGACGACACGGGCAGACAATCCCTGTTGAATGTAGAGCCGCATTCTTCCATTTCCATCATACCAACATGAAAGACATGCCAAACAACACAAGTCACTAAACAACACAAATCATTCACAAGACTGTTTCCCAAAATTCTGGACGCCACCAGCATACCATAATTTTGCGAACCAGTATCACAAGTTCCAACATGCAACACAATCTGGCCTCACTTCCAAAGCAGCAAAATCAGGGGAAAACCTGACTGTCCTTCTCTCTACAAACCACCAAAACAGTCACCATCCCTAAAACTAAAACAAGTTCTCGTGAGTTCACTGTGCAATCCCTATTGTATGCAGCACCAACTCAAAAAAATCGATTGACAGACATGCACATGTTCAGGAAATGAGGATGTCTCCGTGGTTTGATCAGAACCCTTCAACAAGCCATCTCCGCAAAAATTGCACTCGCCAACTGACAAACAAACAAAAATCTAACTGCAACAAAAACAAGGCGCATTGCACAAAACACTCAAAATTTGTTTGTGTTTCATTTGTTTGTTCCGTTTCGTTTAAAAACGAGATTCCACATGACGGCATTCCACACTCTTGCAACATGACTGCATCAAACAAACAACTGAAATGTGCCAATCATCAATTGCACGCGCTCAAGCCGCACTTTCACCTATTTCTCTCACGCATACCAATACTGCCAGAAACTCTATTGACTACATCTGGCAACTTGATCACACAGAAATGGGTCACAGGTATTTCAACCTTGCAGTGACCTCTGATATCGGCCTAAGATACGCTCACGCATCTCAAAAATCTGCCTTTGCATCTCGATCTCCAATTCTGAGAGATGATCACGGAACATTGTCATGATGTCCCGTTGGTTCGCATTCAAACGAACATCTTCAAGCAAAGGTAGAAGCCATTCCATGAGAACAAGCATAGTCTGGACTATCCGAAAGATACTCGTCAACTTCTCCAATCCGACAATCCACTCAATGTACCTTTCTTCCATTGCTTCACGTAGTGGTCGGTTGTCGCGATTGTCCATTCCTGGTATAGACTATGTGGCGATACTTTCCTTGAGCTTAAACGCTTGAGCCACTCACATTCCAGTGATTTCTCAACTCTTATCTCCAAAGACTTCTAGGCAAGTTGTCGGAGTCTCCACAGTCCAAACACCTACACTAGTGCCTCCAGGACCTACTCCCAACCTCAGCCTATCAAAATATTCTCAACGCTCCTCTCCAGGCAATCAATCGACAAGTCACTTTCAACACATGACCTACAGCCAACATGCCACAAAAAGGAGTGAAACGAAAAACACACATCACTGCGAATCTCAATACAGGCTGATCTCTTGACTGTGATCCTTGCCGCATACAGTTCCTCTGAACCAACGACCCATGACCCTACAGTCACTCTCCAACTCTGCATGACAATTCCATATATCCAAATTCAAAGTTTCCCTACAGCAATGCAAACTGTCCGTCCATCACATGAGCAACGCAGACCCTCCAGGCTGCCGAAGGAACTCTTTCTTCTTTCCTTTCCGCATTTCAAACTGTGATTCAAAAACTATTCCTAATACTCCCTGGTCTGCCCGATCGCTACACTTGGACCCTGACCAGTTAAATGAACTTGACAGCCATCTCACTAATGCGGTACAACAAGCGCCCGTTGCTATCCCACTCTTCGCACTTCACAGGTCCATGCCAGCGATACTCAGTGGGCTTAGTCTTCTCCAAGATTCCACTCTCAACTTTCACAAGGTACCCGAGCGCAAAGACTTCCATTTCCATCACCGCATAGTCTTTCTGATGGAACTCACCCTTCAAACCTTCAGGTGTCCAATCCATAAAGTACTGGGCACGATCCACAGCCTCCTTAGGTCCCAAACGTAGACCAAAACGGCCGGAGTATTCATCTGGAAACACTTCATTGCCCTTGTTCAACTCTTCCAGCTGCTTAGGCGTCAAAGCAATCCAGAGCTTGATCGACTCCATGTTTGAAACACGGACACACAGCCACGGTCTCAGAACTCTTGACACAAAACAGTCACAAACAGCTGCGGAAACATGAATGGAGGTTCATCCAAAGCTCATATTCTTGGAAACCCAAAAACTTCAACACTTCTCATGTGCAGACATCACACAAAAACTGACCCAACGGTTTACCCTGTCGCTTACAGCTTTACCTCTCTAAGCCAACGACCTTATACACCTCTAGGTCACAAACAGTTCAACGTTTCAAGCTCCGACATCCTAAAAACAGAGCTAAACGGGTTGTTTCTTTCCAGGCAGTCAACCGCAGAGCACAAAAGCTATTTCTACTGACGTCTCCTCCCAAACCAGCAGACTATGGCCTAACTAGGATCACTCAGTCCAACCTCTCTGAGCAAGTCCTCTTCAGCTGTCCTCTCCGGGACGTCACTCACACTCGTCAACTCATCATCCGAGTCGGCACGTGCATCCTCGTGACCTTCCTTCCCAGATATAGACATTGCTGCAGCATCAATCAACGGTAGCTCCCTTCTGATGCCCGCCATACCCTCTTCCGCATTAATGACAACGGGTGCGGCACAAGTAGCCGCGTCAATGGGATATTCTCGACGTCGCCGATCCACATCTATGACAACCGGTGCGGCACAAGTAGCCGCATCAATGGGACGTTCTCGGCGCCTCCGATCCACATCAATGACACCAGATGCGGTACAGGTAGCCGCATCAATGGGATATGCTCGACGCCTCGCAGCTTTGATAGACTGGCCCTTCTTGTCGAAGCTCTCCTTAATCACTGATGGCTTAGTGCTAGACGTCACGGATGTCGACTCCTGTTTAGACATAGCAGCCAGAGCTACCTCTGACCTTCTTGAACCATACTTGGCGTCATCAGTGACAAGCATGACTTCCACCTTCAATCATCCACAATGTACTCAAATAAAACAAAATTTCATGCGTATTGGGCTCCAAACAAAACAAATCAAATCCTCAGATTGAGTAACACTGTTATGACAATTCAGAAAGCGCTCTTCACATGCTCACCTCAGTCACCTGACACACCTTCTCTTATCACACTTCTAAATACCAACTGAGCTCAAGACCCAAGACGTACTAGCTACGTAAGTAGGAATCCACCCAAAACCCTCCCTTCTATGAGAGAGTACCCATCGCTTTGCGCATTGTCAATTCCGCTCCAAATCCTTAATCCAAAAAATTTCAAACGCCAACGCCGCGTAGAAAACACGTGAGGCTATCGCCACGGTATAATAAAAATAATATATGGAAAAATCGTATACGACAGCTTCACTCGTGATGCACAGCTTTATTAATCTTTCCTTTTTCATTCTTCCTTAATTGTGAGTTGGCTACCACAACCTGTTTTATTTCTTTGCTCAAACGCTGGCCTAGAAATATGGCCACCGAGCGATTGAGCCCCCCCTAGGTCGTGGGTGGGTGGGCTACAAAAAATGTGCACCAACCCAAAATCTTGATCCACTGAAATATCACGAATACAAAACAGAATGAGAAATGAACTTCAGAAGCATTATTCCTTAAAACTTGATTCCGGCTTCTGAAATTCAAACCAAAATTCTTAAACCCATTTCCGAGGAGTGTTGTAAACAGTCCTTTGTGAGAAACGGAACCAAAGCCAAAACTCCCTTAAAACAGTTGGTTAAAATACATTTGGAGTTTGTGAGGTTTGGTTTCATCTCACTTCCAAGTTACTTCCCAAGAATAACTTCCGCAGAAGAAACCGGCGGAGGAAGAAACCGCTAAACGCGTGGCAGGAGTAGGAAAGGAAAGGAGATGACCAGAAGAAAGCGAAAGCGAAATGTAAACCGGGCAACGCTTAGGAGCATAGACACGGCCCTAGCGTGCGCAAGGGGGATCTTACGTCCGAATACACAGTCGCAACACGTCGCGATTGCGTACTAGCTACGTAAGTAGGAATCCACCCAAAACCCTCCCTTCTATGAGAGAGTACCCATCGCTTTGCGCATTGTCAATTCCGCTCCAAATCCTTAATCCAAAAAATTTCAAACGCCAACGCCGCGTAGAAAACACGTGAGGCTATCGCCACGGTATAATAAAAATAATATATGGAAAAATCGTATACGACAGCTTCACTCGTGATGCACAGCTTTATTAATCTTTCCTTTTTCATTCTTCCTTAATTGTGAGTTGGCTACCACAACCTGTTTTATTTCTTTGCTCAAACGCTGGCCTAGAAATATGGCCACCGAGCGATTGAGCCCCTAGGAACCGAGGTCGGCCATTCACCATGGTTTGAGGGAAGAAATTCGTTTTCTCTTCCGGGGCAACTGAACCTTTGGTTCTGATTTTATCATGAAAAGAATTTGCATGGGCCATGAACTCTTCAAAAACCAACCATTCTTGTTGAAACGGATCCCACCTGACGCGGTCCTGCAATGAGAACATGTCGAACTTCTGGTTGGTGAGATCGTCGGCCAGTTGATTCCATTCACGCGGAACCCAGTCCAGCTTCAGATTGCATCTTCCAAGTCTTAACGACTCTGACATTTCCATAATAAAAATTGTAAGAGGAAACTTCGTGCTCATCCATTTTGTCACAGCGTATGTGTTGGATTGATTATCCGTTTTTCCCTTCAACCAGCATACGGCCTCAGAGTGTTGTTGCGCTGGCGGCATCCACAGTTTCACCGCAACCAGACTAGCCAGTAACTCCAAGGCCGCAATGATCCTTTTGGGATCCCTTTTAAGCTTCAGCCACGGCGCCCAAGCAACCGGCACCTCTTCTGAAAACCACTCCAGCACCTTTCCACTCGCATCTTGTTTGAAGCCACCAATCCAAGCTGAATCTTCTGTGGCCTTGGCATCTGTATAAAAAGTAATCTGCTTGCCCTCCGATTGTTCAAGTGGAGGGGGACACTGCAAATCACCACCCTCCAAAAATCTCCTTGCCAAAAACCTCAAGATGGTTCTCAACATTGCAGGCACCCGCAATGCTCCACGCTTCGTTCTGATGGCCGCACACCAGCTGTAGAGCGGCCCCAAAAATGGCCTCTCCCATGTCAAGGCCATGGCTGCAAAGCCTAGACGGCCCAGCCCTTGCTCAAAGTTCTTTGCTGTTGTTGTACCAGTGTCGGCAAGTTCCTTCACCCAATCGTGCATCCAGCGCGCCCGTGATGGAGACAACCCCAGCTTGTAAACGGAGTAGTCAGAAAAAAGTCCAATCCACTCCACTCTAAGTCCTCCCCTCTGCTTCGCCCACTTAAAAGGAAAACCTAAAGCAGACATGTAGAGGAAGGCAAGGGTTATTCCTCTCCGACCGCCGGCACTTGCACCCAAAGCTTCAAGATCGTCAGCGAACAGAAGTAGCTCCACCGGCATCTGTGGACCTAAAAGCTCATGCACCAATCGGATCCCTGCACCTGCAATCCTGCCCCACCAGTATGAAGCACATGCCACTCCAAAAGTTCCAACATTGTTTATGTATAAGTGGTCGTCTGTATCCAGGACTCTGCATGCCAACAAACCTCGTTCTTCTGGAGAATGAAGGAAACGCCTGTGAGCCTTGGATATGTCTCCAACCAGACTGAAGACCGAGCATCTATTCTTCTGGAAATATGCCAAAAGGTATTGTTTCTCCCTCGCACTGGGGGACCTTGTTTTGTCACGGCACCGTATCCTGTTGTTTAACTTTGTACCGTGAGTGGCATCGTGAATCACCCTCCTTTTTCCTTGGTGGTTCTGCTCCACCAACACCGCCAGCGAAGAAATTGCAACCTTGTCTCCAAACCTGGTTTTTGCCTGCTCCAGCGTGAGCTTCTCCATCAAACCTTCCGCACACTCCTCTGCAAAGTGCTCCCTCACAAATTGTACATGGTCACCTACCGACTGGTAGTTTGAGCGCCAAACCTCCTCTTGCATGTGAGGGTCGTCCTCCAGCCGCCACGATGTCTGCTCTTCGTAGCAGTGCGGTGTCCTCGGCAATGGATTAAGAACACCCACAGGGTAACCAACTTCGCCCTGCATCAAAAATTCCCTGTCTGCATCTTCTCCAAAAGCAAGTAACTCCTTCATGAGTCTAAGGTGGAAAGGTTGCCCTGGGGCCACATGGTCTAAACCCTCTTGTTTCGACCCATGCTGTTTGAGCAGGTCAATCCAGAAGAGACGAATATCGTTTTTGAGCTTCTCATCTCTCACAATACTGCAGCCTGCTTCGCCTCGTACTGCCATCTCAAAGCATGCCCTGTCCAAAGCTCGCTCATCACCCAGATGCTTCTCTATCAACTCAACCGTCCCTTTTCTCAACCTTTCCCAAAAAGCACCTGCTCCACATCCCATCTCCCCATCGAGAGGAGTCCAGCTCCATCATGAAAAAGCCGGTCTTTGCCCGGTGGCTGACACTTGCGAGGACTCCCAAGCCCCCCCGCTATTTTCCTGCCATCCGGTTTCAAAACTTCATAGTTCTGCCTGTCCGAGTCCTTTGTTTGGACCCCTTCGTCAGCGAGGGCAGCAGTTGTTGCAAGGTGCCAAGAAGAAAACTGTTGCAAAATGCACGTTGCAATCCATCTGCACATGTTTGATGGCCACTGTTCTGAACCCGTCGTTGCAAATCTATCACCCAGTGTTCCGACCAGTTGACACTTTGCAGAGCGTTGTACCAGTGGTCCAGTGTAAAAACCTTGGTCATCAAAAGTTGGTTGTCCTTCCAAAAAATATTCCGGCAGCTCTGCAAACCCCCCTAAAAGCAGTCTCGTGGGTTTGAGGTAGTCAGTTCCAAAGTCCTCCTGATAAAAAGCTGCTGTTGTCACCCGCTCATGCTGCAAAATTTTAAGAAATTGTTCAAACTGCCACATACTACCCGGTCTCCGGCCAGAATTTGGACCTGATTTGATGGCACCAAGGTCCTCCGGATTCTCGAAAAGTGCCATTACATGTACATGTTTCATCTGCATTGCAAAAGCCAAGAAAGAAAAATCTGCCATTATGTTGCCCCAATTTGCTCTCTTCCGCTCTGTCCAGGAAAGCCGCGTGAAACCCTTTGGCCACACGTAAGAACGGACCGGCCTAGGTCCTCTCTTGTTTGCCCATGTCACCCTGGAAAAAGTACTGCAGGGTGGACTAATGAGCACTGCAAAATATTCACCAGAAGCTATCTTGCTTAACAACCGCTCCTGGACAGCCTTTTGAGTTAGGTCGAGATGCGGCTTTACCTGTATGTCAACCATCTCGACCTCCACAGTTACGCCAAAGCGCTTTGCTAACTTACGCAACCATGATGAAACTGAATTCTTTCTCGGCTTCCCCGAAAAAATGTAAAGGACCTTGCAAACCCCCTTTGATGAGGATGGCCCTCCATCGTTGTGCCCTGTTGTACCCTTAGGTCAGACTGATCCCGTCGTGTCCAAAGGTGCCTTGTCCTCCTTGCAATTCATCCCATTGTGGCCCTTCTTGAAACATCGATTGCAAAGATGCGCAAACTTGCATTTCTGGTAACTGCACTTCCCCTGGTTGAACCTGAAACAGATCTTTGAGCCATCTGGTGCCACGCCTGAGCCCTTGCCTTTTGATTTCCCTTTGCTGCTTTGTCCTTTGCTAGTCTTCCCCTTTCCTTTCGGGTTCCAGTCTCCCCAAGAGGCGCTAGGATTCGACCGCTTGCTGTATAAGGCTAAGGGCGTGATGAAGTGGCGCTCTTTTTTGACTGGACATTTCCATGCCTGTTCCAAAGCAGCTCCAATTTTCAAATGTTCTGTAATCATCAAATTGTATGCACGCTTCCGCACTGCATGCTCGTAGCTGAGGACCAAGCTCCAAGGCGGTGTCTGTATCTGATTCCCCTGCAGGTCCGTCGATGACAAGCCCCAGACGTAATCGCCTAGGATGTAATCCTTGTAGCGCTCCATGGTGTCACGGCTCATGTCTTGAATCTCTTCACGGTTTGTATGTTTCAAAGCAAGCATCAAAACACAATGCAACATCACTGTGAGCCGTCTCCTGAGTTGCTCCGGCCCTGTCGGAAGTGCCACCGATGTTGTGCCCTTCTTCACTGAGAGCGACCCTTTGGAGTCGAAGACCGGCACCATAATATCCGGGTCCACCTCATCCTTCGATACCACCTCCGACAGCAGTTCAGCTCTAAATTCACCATTCTCAAGTTCCTGTAACTTTTTCTCAAGGTACTCTTTTGATGGTGTGACCTTGTCCTCAACCTTTCCATGAGCCCTCATGAACGCATTCCTCAAGTTGATGTAGTCACCAGTAGGTATGGGCTTTGTCCATTCACGTGTGTCCATCTCCGCCTCAACCTCCGCCTGTCTCTTTTGTTTTGTTTGCGTCTCTCTCCAAGCACAAATCACTGAGGCTAACTGTGCCCGCGCTTGAAGGCCCTCATCTGCATCTGTCGCAAAGGAATCCTTCATGACTTGAATGAGGTCATCCTCTGATCTGAAGAAGGATGAAAACTTCTGAACTGTTGTAATGCCATTTGTAAAGAAAGCAGCTTGCAAGTCATCATCAACGTCATTCCGAGACAATGTGAACCTGAGGTCCGCTCCGCCCTTCTTTAGGGCCTCCTCTCTAGCAATCGGACCAGCCATCGATCCCGTGCGCGTGCAAACTGTTGAAAAACAATTGACAACAAACTCACTGCAAATGAAGGTGAACATGCATGGTAATGACATGGTGCACAATCAACCTGAACTCCAAGATGAAAGCCGTCTGAATCTGTTTGCTTCAAGCTTCCCTTCCCAGCTACGTTATTCGTCGCTGAGCCCTGAACTCCGGAGAATCTGCGGATCTCTCATGTTCTTTTGCAAGGGATTTCAACCAAAACAACAGCTCTTAATGCACTGCCATCCAAGAATCACAAGTCAATCAAAGTGTGAAAAACCCCGGAAACCTAACCAACATGCAGCCCCCCATTGAATAATTCCAAACAGTCTTCTCCGGACTGTTCCAGTAAGGCCCCTGCATTCCGGCTTGCTGTGCAAGACTTTTGATCGGCCCGCCACAATTTAGGCAACCTCCTTTTGGGCTACATGTTCAGATCCCGGTCTCTTAGAGACTGATCAGGTTCAAGGCAGTTGCATGTTTTCCAAAACCAGGCTTCCCCTTTTCGCGTGGATAAAAAAAAACAAATGATTGTCAAAACCTGCACCATGCCAGACTTCTATGCAAAGATTGTGAAACGTCAAATCAATTGAAAGCATCCAGACAAGATTGCACCGCTATGCCAAGACAGGTTCAATCACAACTAATCAGTTCCCTCTGGATCTTCCGAGCTTGTGGCACTATCTGAACTCGAAGTGGAGGACGAGGACGAAGATCCTTCAATTGCCTCCGTCACACTGGTTTTGGGCCAACATACCTTGCAGACATGTGAATAGGCTGACCCTTCTGGCATCTGGTAAAACTCTACTGAGGACTTAAAGGACATCTCACGTCCCATCCAGCAGCCACCTTGACTCTTATGCAAACGTCTGCAACGCCTACCACTGTTCACTACCACATACAAAGGTTTCCTGGTCTCCTTTTCTGTTTGAAGTTTCTGAACTTGTGAAACATCTGCATTGGGCTCCGACTGGATGTCCTCCGATTTCTCCTCTTCCCCGACCTGACCAGCCAGCTCCCAACCAGGCTGAACCTGCCAGTGCATAGATTCCTCCAAGTGAGAAATAATCAACTGCACCTGATGTTCAGGCAACTGTTCACATCTGTCCGTGATCCATGACATTGCACTTTCAATGATATCTCTTTCATCCAAAAGACCTGTCCTGTTGTTCACCCTGACAGCTTTTGCATATTGTTTCTGAAGCCTTGCTACCACACCATTGTACATCCTGATGTATGTGTCTGATCCATCAGGCTTCCAACGACCTAACATGTCACGCTCCTCTTTTGCAGTCCTCAAAAGGGCCAAACCAGTTGGAAGCGTTGCACGTTCAGAATGCTCTGTCCAGAAGGTTGATAAAGAAGGGTCCAACAGAGCTTCTGTTGTTCCGGGTCGTTTGGCAGCTTTGCGAACATATGAGGAATACGAAGTGACATCATTGTATGTCGCCATGGATCTCCTAAAACCAGACCAGTCTCTATTCAACTTCGGCAACATGTAATCACGTTCAAAGTTTGCATGTGTCTTGAAAAGATCGAACCCAGTCTTCAGCCAAAAAGGGCTCGTAACATATGCATGCTCTGAGACACAAACCGGCAGCTCCTGAACCCTCTTGGTGGGCCCTGTTGTTTTCGTGATACGCAAGATTGTTGTCATGCGCCCTGCATAGTACTTCAACTCCTTAGGGACCACTTTCTGTATGTCGTCCCAACGGAGTGAAGCCCAAATCTTGAAGAGCTTGATCCAAGCTACTGCTCTTGTACCCATCAGCAGTTGGTCGTTCTCCACCATAGCCTCTAATGATTCCAGAAAAACTGCAGGATACCTGGGTGCCCTCCTTTTTGGTGGAGAATCCTTCGACAGCATCTCTATTATGTAGTCCTTGACTGACAGGACCACCTGCGATTCCCCAACTCGCAGCCTGTCATCCACGCAGGCTGTGCGTTCCATCCATGTGACCGCCTTGACTATCAAGACAGGTATGGTCGGCCCGCAAGGCTCATCAAACCTTGAAAATAAATACTCCACCAAATCACCAGGTACAGGGTAGTCAATCACCCCCTTTGCCGCTTCCAACCATTGCATGAAAGCCATCCAGGTCTTGACATAGCGCTTCAACGTGTTGTACCTGGTACGACCAGCTAATGCCATATGCAGATGGCGATCACTGACGCAATGCTCCAGATGCTGCAAGGCTGGAGCCTCAAACTTCTTCAATTCCAGGTATAATTCCCTGGACCAGTACTCCTTCTGCTGGTCTTCACGTTGCTTCCTTGCATGCACCTCCTCATCACTCAAATTACGTCTACGTGTAGGCCTCGTGTTCAGCGCTTCCAACGAAGCTGCACTTGCTGTAGGGGTCTCTAAACGTGAACTGTCTTTTCTGGAAAAACGCTCCCTAACCAGCGGCTCTTCAAGTGGATCCAAACTGACATCGCCCCTCAACCGTTTTGCCAGAGGCTCAATGCGCCTGGAATCTTCAATCCACGTAGCCACCAGTTCAACATGCTTTTGCTCGCAAATGATACCCAGTCCACGACAAAGTTGTGAAGAAATGGAAAAAGCTTCATTCACACTAAAAACTGCAAGCTTCTTTCCAGTCAATCCATGTTTCTCCATCAACCCCCACATACAGCTTTCAATGTCTCCGTCATCCATGGAGTCTTCTAGAAGACTGGGCAGCGCCGAAAACCCTCTACCTACAAAAAATGTGCACCAACCCAAAATCTTGATCCACTGAAATATCACGAATACAAAACAGAATGAGAAATGAACTTCAGAAGCATTATTCCTTAAAACTTGATTCCGGCTTCTGAAATTCAAACCAAAATTCTTAAACCCATTTCCGAGGAGTGTTGTAAACAGTCCTTTGTGAGAAACGGAACCAAAGCCAAAACTCCCTTAAAACAGTTGGTTAAAATACATTTGGAGTTTGTGAGGTTTGGTTTCATCTCACTTCCAAGTTACTTCCCAAGAATAACTTCCGCAGAAGAAACCGGCGGAGGAAGAAACCGCTAAACGCGTGGCAGGAGTAGGAAAGGAAAGGAGATGACCAGAAGAAAGCGAAAGCGAAATGTAAACCGGGCAACGCTTAGGAGCATAGACACGGCCCTAGCGTGCGCAAGGGGGATCTTACGTCCGAATACACAGTCGCAACACGTCGCGATTGCGTGCCTTAGTTGTACACAAGAACCACATACCTGACACTATCGGTTCCCAACCTTTGCACCTTGGTCCAATACCTCAGTGTCCGAGGATGTCAAACCTGGCAATCTGCTGCCCCACCCTCAGGGATTTCCAAGTTACACCTCTGCAGCAAGTTACCTACCGTCACTTTCTACTGCCGAAACGAAATTCTTACGTCCAGGAACGTTCCATCCATGCAAACATCTTCAGATACTCCAGCGTAGCCTTGCACTCGTGACCCTACGCTAGCAATACGTCACACCATGACACAGACCCCTACCAGAACACTGCCAAGACCACATGGATGCCTCCTACAGACAACGTACCTACACAAGGTAAAAAAATACAAAACTTGCTCTGACAGAATCCACTGTCACCACAGACTCAACTCCTCCGTCCAAGTCACACGTCCTGCCCAGGGCTGACTAACTCTGTATGTTCTCCTACAGGTACCGCTGTCGACAGCTTACTATGGATCCACTTCTGTCCAGCCTATAAAGAACAAACCCTGCCGAATCTTGCACAACTTGCAAACGAAGAGTCGTCCAAATAAAACAGTCCCACGATCCTCATGATCCGTAGAAATCTATACATAAAACAGGGTCCCAAAGTTACCTGAACCCAAAAAGACTCGAACCAACTTCACACTCCCTAGTGACCTTATACTTTCAGACCATCACCTCCTGTGGAAAAGGTGCACCTTAGTACGAGCTCATCTCTGCCTCTGCGCATAGAACACGGAGCTCCAATATCCAAGATCCCAATTTCACCTTAGATGATGTCCTTAGCATCTTGTCACAAACAAGGGTCAGCGGAAGATGGTGTGGGTAGCCCTTTTCAGGGCTCCGCTACCATGTGAAAAACGTAAACCCAAGTACACCTCTCGTGTGCCCAAATCAACGCTTTCGTTAGATCACTACGCCAGAAGTGAACACCTACTGTGTTTGCAACTCCGCAGTTACTTACTTCCCTACAAAGTCAAAGAAAGGAACTTGTTCCACCCCGACTCCTAAGTGCACGTCAGACTCCCTCTTTTCTCTCCAGACGCCACACAACAGGACAGGTCAACAAGATCCAGGGCAGGCACACGGCCACAAACCCAAAGGGAAGCAACAAAGTCCAAGTGTGGCTACTGTTTCCAATGCCCTAAGTGATACTGCAGTTCAGTTCGCTTCAGAACATTCGACACCACTCCCTTGAGCCGATGTCTCAACTGGGAAACTCGATTCCAGGTTTCCAACACACAACCTTCCCTTAAAGGTTGTTGAATCAATTCCGAACTGCTATGATATACAAATCACCTAGTCACAAAAACATCAGAAACATCTCCAAAAGTTCTCAAATCAAACTGGTTCTCATTCAAACGCAAGTAACCAGCTAGCCGATGTTACTAGTCTCTACCAAACGTCTAGACTAGTCACACGGCTAGTTAAGAACGAAATGTTCCAGTCAAATTCCTATACAAAATCCTCTCGCAATACAGAGCAACATAGGAACCTCATGTTCCATCTCCAAAACAGTCTTACAAAGAGATGTGTTCTCATAGTTCCAAACTACCAAGGAGAATAGAATACTCTGTTCGACTTCCTAGCCAATATCCAGTCGTAAACAGTCATAGCGCTAACATAGTTCGCTTACTGTCACAACCAAAAGTCAGCAGCAAGTCAGAGGCATAAAGATCATAATACAGCTTTCCAGATCAAGCACCTAGAGGCTAAACCAGATACGTAGGCATTGTCCTCACAATGCCGGAGTATCTCACATACTGGCGAGGGCCACTTCTTGGAGTCCAAAAAGCCAATGTGTTTACGGCCCCGAAAATGAGGTTGCTGCAGTGACCTTTTTTTGCGAAAAATGGCGCAGCTTTACCAAAAAGCAATATTTTTGCAAGTGTAACGGAATGGCAGGATTCCGGGGAACACGGTTGCTGATTGAAGGTCTCTAGCCCCGCCTGCATGTCGCCAGTCTTTGCCAAAGCACCATGTTGTTTTGGAATTGTTTGGGTGTTGTTGTCGCAGGCTTTCGCAACATGGCGTGGGTGAGATGCTGATTCCGCTGCGACATTGTTGGCGGGATGCTTTTTCTGTGTTTGCGTTGGCAGTGGATCGTTTTGTCACGATTGGGCGTCGCACTGCTCAGTTTTGTTTTGGTTCCTTGATGCGTTGTTTGTTTTTGGGCTCCCCCCCCTTCGCCTCCCTCGTTTGGATGGCTTTTGCTTCTGCCTGTCACTCCGAAGGGTCTATTTTTGGGCCCTAAAAGATAAGAAAAATTGGAGACGCAAATACGGGCCTCCCCAGTTCAAGAGTCCTGCCGCGGATGCTGTTTGTGTCAGTAGCTTCTAAATTTGCCAAAACCGCCAAATTTGCCCAAAATCCACCAAAATTGCCAGAAATTGAAAAATTGCCTAAATGGCCAAAAAAATCCAAATTTTGCCAAAGGGCCAAATTTGCCTTCAAAATCCCCTTAAAATTTCACCAAAATTGGGAAAATCTCCGAAATTGCCAAAAATTGCCAAATTTGTCTGAAATTGCCAAAATTGCCTAAGTAGGCCAAAAACGGCCAAATTGGCCAAAAATGCCGAAAATGCCTAAATGCCAAAACCGCCAAATTTACCCAAAATCCACCAAAATTGCCAAAAATGGCCCAAATGGCCAAAAAAATCCAAATTTTGCCAAAGGGCATTTTGCCAAAGGGCCAAATGTGCCTGCACAATCCCTTAAAATTTGACCAAAATTGGGAAAATCCCAAAAATTGTCAAAAAGTGCTAATTTTGCCAAATTTGTCCAAAATTGCCCAAGTGGGCCAAAAACGGCCAAATTGGCCAAAAATGCCGAAAATGCTCAAATTTGGGCACGTTCCCCCTCACTCCCTCCACACAATGATTCAGCAAAGTAGGGATCGGTCTGTGCAGCATCTGCACACACAGATTCTGTGAATAGCAACTAGCTGCTTCACAAAAGTGTCTTCACTTTGCAGAAGCTTGCGTTTTTAAATCTTTGTTTTGGGGGCAGGGGGGATGTCAGGCCTGTCACGTGCACTTGTGCCAGCTCAGGAGTCCAAGAGGTGGTCGTTTGGATGGCTTTTGCTTCTGCCTGTCACTCCGAAGGGTCTATTTTTGGGCCCTAAAAGATAAGAAAAATTGGAGACGCAAATACGGGCCTCCCCAGTATATTTAAAACCGGATGAATTCTTTGTTTACATTGGGGAAGAGTTTCGATTTCATGACTCTGGCAAATTCCGTAAGAAGGCTGGAGATGCAAAATTTCGGTTTTACCACAATTTTGTCCCAGTTTTGATGTCTTTAGCTGCGGAGTCTTGCCGGAGTCGGGCGGAGTCGGTACACCTGCTGAAACCCTATTTATAATGGGGAAAGGGTTGAAAGAGTTCCAACTTTGTGACTCCAGACGACTCCGCAAGAAACCGCAAGATGCGCAAGATGATGTCACACTGAACTCTTCGATTTGTTTGATGCCCACTTTTGGGTTTGGAAAGGTATACAGAATTTGGACTCCCAAAGGCGGTCCTCTCCAGTTCAGCCCGTGGATGTTTGTGTCATCCTTCCTGCCTTTTGTGGTTTCATGTTTTCTGGCAAACTTTTGAAGCAGCTGGGTGCGTTCAGAGCGTCATGTCGCAACCCAAAAACAGGATTGCCACACGCTCCAACGCGTGGATTTGGCGCGCCCGTTTTTGGTCTCGCCTGCTATTCAAATAGAAATTGAAAACAGCCTCGAAATGGCTCTGTCCAAAGCGAAAAGCGGTAGCGCGTGGCAATCCCGTTTTTGGCAGTGTGGAACCTTGCCACCTGCTCGAAACACGAAGCTCTTTACATACATTGCGCAAGTAAAGCAAAGTTGGGTTTTGTTCAAGCAGCAAGCTTTCAACGCAACAGTTCAGCACGTGGATGTTTGTGTCATCCTGCCTTTTGTGGTTTCATGGTTTCTGGCAAACTTTTGAAGCAGCTGGATGCGTTCAGAGCGTCATGTCGCAACCCCAAAAACAGGATTGCCACACGCTCCAACGCGTGGATTTGGCGCGCCCGTTTTTGGTCTCGCCTGCTATTCAAATAGAAATTGAAAACAGCCTCGAAATGGCTCTGTCCAAAGCGAAAAGCGGTGGCGCGTGGCAATCCCGTTTTTGGCAGTGTGGAACCTTGCGACCTGCTCGAAACACGAAGCTCTTTACATACATTACGCAAGTAAAGCAAAGTTGGGTTTTGTTCCAACTGCTCGCCGTGAGGCGGTAGTCACGACTGTGGGAGGCTAGCGCTGCAATGACTTCCTGCGTAAGCCGCAGCTTTGACTTCTGTGCAATAACCAATCGATATCTTTTCAGGGATCGCACGCCATTCACGGTCACCACCATAGCAATGGCAAGGGGCGGTTTGTCTTGGGAATTAAACGGTGTATTGAGTTTCCACTCAAGGACCGCTTCTGCGTCCGATGGCACGTGCTTGGGCTCATGAAACTGGACAA